CAAGACAAAAGCTGGCCCTTGTACAATTCAACTGGGAAGACTTCATTGAAAAGGCAACAATATGACTGTAGAGGACAGAAAGTCAAATAACATATTTAGTTTGATAGAAATGTTTCTACATCACAGATTTATTTCACTAAAATGTCTGTATAATCCCATATGCTGACAATATCAGTATTTTAGTTGATTCCCATGGCCAGACTGACAAATTTAGCATTATTACTATGGAAAATCTGAATGTTACTGTTAGGGTTGATGTTCTGTGATTGTTTTTTGGAACAAGTTCACATGTATGGTATGTTCCCAAGGTACATTTCTGTATGCAGTCAAAATCAGAATACTGATAGGTAACCTGGGATGAATCAATTCCACTTTGTGCTGTGCACTTCATGGCTGGGGTTCAAACCTATACACAGATGGGGTGTGGCCTCCCTGCCTTGTCAAAGCTGTCTTTTGGTGCAAAGCAATGAAGTATTCAAGTACATTCCATGAAATATCACAAAATTGACTTACCACTTCAGGCTGATATTAAGTCACAGTATAAAGAAGTATGTTATGAAGACTCACAGCAAAAACTATGGATGCAGAGAGTCTACAAAACATACATTTTGAAAATATATTTCTCATTTTTAAAACCTTCATTCTGAACATGAAAGATTTTCATAAATTTCAGATCAGAAGTGTCATACTGTTGGATATGATGCATTCCAGCATAAAAAACAATCATACACAGTGACAGATTTCTTGTACAGGAATCTTCCACAATTCATACAATTCAAAGCATTATCCAGCATGCACTCATTGTAAGAAATTGTAGCATGAACTTGCGAAGGTCTTGGTTGTCAGAGGAATATCCCCACATGGGCACAATGTGTTAAGCCCATTTCTGGTGTCCCCCGCCGTGATATTGCTGGAATATTGCTAAAAGCGGCGTAAAACTAAACTCAGTCAGTCAGTCAGTCAGTCAGAGGAATATGGATTCATCTATAGCTCAGAGTACTGGGGACGGTTCTGTCTCCTGACTTAAGCTTGGGTACATATCTGTAGTGCCTGTGCTGATAACCCATTCAGCCCAAGTGGACTTTAGTCGGAGTGTATCTTGTCAGTTCTCACACTGAAAGGTAAAATTGCTTTTATCCTCTTGACGTAAAAAAAGAACTTTTGTTCTGAAAACCTAGGTATATTTTGTAGTTCAACAACACATGTATCAGTCATTATGATTAAATGAATCTGGTTCACAACTTCATGAAAATGCTGACACTGCAAAATTAATCAGTCCACATTCTTAATTAATTATTGACATCTCTGGTAGAGAATGATTAGATTTAAGATCATGGTCACAGTATTTGTCACGGAACGGAGCAGCTCGGTCATTTCCCAGTCATTGACCCACACAGTAACTAGTTCCCTGATGGCAGGTGCCCCTTGGTGAGTGGTTGCCATGTACTGACTTTTGCACCTTCTTGTCAGATTGTCCCCAGCAATGCAGTGTTATTTTCTGTATACAACATTTTTGGTTAGCTCAGGTTCTTGTATCAATATTTATAGTCAGTGCAAAGCAGTGGTTTTTGGTAGTTGTTTTTTCACAATATGAACTCGACACCTCACTATAATTATTGTGTCATGTCTTTTGTAGACAACATTTTAACACTTATCGACACTGACCTTATTTGCTATAATTACACCATTTGGTAGCAGAGGTCAAGGTCACTGAATTCGGAAACAGGTTAAGGAAAGTCCCGAAATGACCATCTAGACATAGAAGTTTACCTGATTGCTATGCGAGGTCCTTTACATGTCTACTAATAAAGCATGAATTAAATTAGATGTTCTGAGTTTCCAGTGTCAATGTCGGTGTCATTCACTCATGATCATTGATACTTTCTAAATGTTTGTGAGCACCAGAAGTTGAGACTTTATGACTGCATCTTGACCCAGTTTAAAACATGTATGTAATCCTGATTAAAGTCGCACAATATTTTAAAGAAAATAATATAATAGGTCTTACTCAAAGTAACCAGAGATCAGAATGTAGAATGTTAGAAATCACTGAATGTTTTTGTCAATAAAACGATATACATTTTGTCAATAAAAAGATATAGAGGATATTATATGAGTGCTCATGTCATACTATGTTTACGACATGAGTGCCTAAATGTTGGTATTTCCCAAGCCAGAACGAGGGATATACCGATGTTTAGGCATGAGTGTCGTAAACATAGTATGATATGGGCACAAATATAATGTTCTTTTATTACCAAAGTCGTCAAATTGAGGAAAATACACCATACTTTCAAATATAGGCTGGCTACCCACCGTCGCCCCATGTAGAATCCAACGTCATAGAAGAAACGTGATGTCATAACATTGTTCATGACGTCACGTCACCACGACAAAGTGATATTTTGCCCTAGGGCATTGTATGAAAAATTTAAGCCCCGATATTTTCGCCATCGTAGGTAATAAATACATTCATCTGCTTTGTTATCTCGCTCATCCTGGACTTGTAATGGAGACCATTCTCCCCTTCCTCCACCTGACTGACTGACTGGTGTCATGGTGTTAAGTGACCTGCTGTCCCAGGTATGCTGCTACACACTTCCCTGCCACTTACTGTAACCAGATCCTCTTGGAACACAAATCATCCCATCCCTCCTTATCTACAGGCAGGAGTCAGATTCTCTAAATGCTGTGTGGAAATGCCAGGAAGTGCCCACACAGCTGATAATGGTCACTAGTTATGCCAACAGCACTGAAAACAAAGCCTACATGATAACATTGAACAACATACTACACGTGATGAAGTGTTTCCTGCAGGGTGAACTTCTTGGCCTAGTTAGACTGGTGCTAAATGCTGGCTATCTCCAGCACTCTGTAAACACCAGGAGTTAAGTGGACTATTTCAGTTCCTGTATCAGTCATGATGGGGAGGAGGTATGTAGGGGGTGACAAGCAGCGATAACAGGGGTTTGGAGGAGGAAGGGAGGGGGTGTAGACTAATGCTCAGTATCAGAATTATATAGTTTTGATTTTGAAACAAACAATTCCTTTTAAATTGAAAAGGAGCCCCAGTGAGATGGGAGATTCCTGAACCTGGGGAAATCTAGGCTTGCTTAATTTAGGGCTTTAAAATTGCAGAAAGGACTGGATGGATGGAAAAATAATGCAGTTGAGGGACTGTGAGACAGACTAGGGAGGGTGTGTCGAGAGGATCTGGGTTGAGTGGAGAAAGTACAGTTATGCGAGAGTCTTTGAAAGTGATTATGAATGGGCAGTATAGTCGTGGGTGGGTGAGGCATAGGGTGGGGGATTATGTCACAGGCAAGTTCCCATGACCTAATGAGAGAAATAACATCAGTGTTTTGTAGGATAGGGTAAAGGTATGAATAATAGCATGTATTTGTAGGGTGGGGAAGGTGGGTAGAGGTGTGAATATGCACAAGGGAAGGAATATGAATAGGGAGTTATAAGTAGAGGGGGATAAGAATACAAGAGGTGAGAAATAGGAAATGGAGGGTGATATGAATATGACTGGTGTGTGAGGGGGAACTTTTCAACACAGGAAAAGGAGTGAGTGAGTTTAGTTTTACGCCCCACTTCAGCTATATGGCGGCGGTCTGTAAATAATCGAGTCTGGACCAGACAATCCAGTGATCAACAGCAAGAGCATCGATCTGCGCAATTCAGAACCGATGACATGTGTCAACCAAGTCAGCGAGCCTGACCACCCGATCCCGACAGGAAAAGGAAGACTTTCAGGAAGTATGAGTACCGGTATGTGGGGAATTGTAGCCAGAAGGCTGAGAATGTTTGATGTATCAGAATGTTTTGATGATGTGGGAATACTGGAACTGAAACTGTGTAATTCCAGGTGCATGGAGGTAAGATGATGTGGGGATACAGTCAGGTGTCCTGATATTCCAGGAGGTAACAAGCATCCATGAGGGTCAGGAAATGGGGGCAAAGGATTGAAAAGAAAAGGAGTGGTCCGAGGTGTTGAGTCTTGGCAGGACCTCAAGAAGGCTTTCACTTGCCTGATTAGAGTTGAATTATTGACAAGTTTGGGGCAGCTGAAGAGTACCGGTAAGTTTGTAAGCTGTTAAGAGGAATTTGACCGTATTTCCTGACCCAACTATAAATTAGGTTGTACAACCATGTCAGACATAAGTATGGATGGAAGCATTTCAAGGAATGGTATATGCAAGTCTAGATTGACTTCAGGTCCTGGATTTCCCAACTCACTGGGGCTCCTTTTCAATTTAAATGGGTTTATTTGTTACTATCAAAATTATATATATTCAGGGACTAAGTGTTAGTCTAATAGCCACCATATAGTAGGAATATTGTTGAGTCATACAGTAAACAACCAACTATAAAGAACTCCAGCTCTTACATTCATCATCAAAGCACAGGATCAGGTTAGGGGCTCACAAACCTGGGGCACAACATCAGAGTCCCAAGTGAGTGTGGATGTTGTGAAACTGCCCTTTCAGCAATGTTCCATCTCTGTATTTGTATGCTGTGAATATCTGCATCTGTGAACCGTGTTGATCGGTCATGCCTAGTCTTAAATTTTGTAATGGATTGAAAACTTTATTTTGTAAGGCATAACATGTTTCAAAACAAGACACTCACTTATTGAAAGTGGTTTTACTTGTCGACAAAAATATTTTGCATGTCCTCGCAAGCATGTGCTTGTTTCTTTGCTCTGATTGTCTCTTGACAATACCGTATTCAATGTGCAGTCTTCTTGCTAAATATGCATGCAATATTTTCAATCCACATTATTTAGATAAGATATTGGGTTGCTTAGCTTTAGGTTTGTTATTTCGAATTCAAAACAGCACTTTTTGTGAGCCATGTGAGCTTATAAGTCAAACAGTGTATTCTGTAGATTCTACACTGTACAAGGCATCCTTGATTCTCCAGGCATGTCACTGAGAATGTGCCTGTATACTTGAGTAGCTTGTCACGGCTTTAGTAAAAACTGAAACAAAATCTGTAGCTAAACAGGTACTTTTATTTCTCCCAATATTGATCTTACTCTCACATCACAATCAACAAACATACAGTCTATTTGTCATATATTTAATATGTACATAAAGATACTTTTCAAACAACTAGTATCATCTAACATATCCTCAGGTCATCTCTACTTCCCGGATCTGTGTTGTGTGTCATATTTCTAAGATTTCTTTGTCTGACATTGATATATGAATGTTTATGTTTATTTTATAATTAATTATACTGATTTATCAAGGAAGAATGTGCATTTGACAAATCAAAGTTAATGGTGGGTGGCTGGAAATAGTCTGGAAACTTATTTAATGGCTTGAGAATCCATGACACAATGGTTCATGTCATGTGTAACTTCATCTGAAATGAAAAAGAAAAGTCCAAGATGAAACTTTGAAAAAGACTAATCTTTTGAATAAACAAAATAATAATAATTTGCATGACGACATCAGTGATAACAGCTGAATGATCAGTTCAATACTTGAAAAAGGTATATCTTGTCCTGATATAATGATAAATTCCTGTTGATTTCTTTTATGTTATGTTGAATGTACTTGTATTATTCTTAAATACGCTTAGAGTTTTTGTTGAACAGACTTGTCAAATAGACTTGTATTATTGCTGAATGCACTTTTATGCAATGCTTGTGTGATGTTGAATAGATTTGTCGTGTCTGGAAGCTTTTCAGTAGTGCTTGATGACTACCTCAAGGAAACACCACACCTACCTATGATGTAGCATATCCTGGTAGAGGAAGCTGCAGCCCCTCCTTGGCCTCGAAGAAGGTGTAGGATAATGTGATGGTGTCTATGGTCTGCAGTTTGGCATCTTCTGCGTACTCAGGGTCGATGTAGAAGAACACTGGCATATCCACCTGGAATAGAAGAATCAAACTAAATGTGCTGATCATGCACTCTTCTTATTGGTCTAGATACTAAAGGCATCAATCATTCCATCTCCAGAGAGAGGCCTTTGTTAATATCTTTATAAACAATATGGGTTGGGTTAAAGAGAAAATTCATTTTGACTGACTTTGGCATTGAAATTAAAGTGGATGTCCACTAAATTGTTCTGTTGCTGCCCACGAACTTGTCAGTGGTATGATCTATGTAAATGTTGGTACATATTTGCTTGATATGATTTCTAATTATGCCTTACTGAATTATATTTATGGTGCAAAGAAATAGTACGAATTTAGAAGCCTGCTCGAAGTGCAAAAACTTAAAATAAAAAAAACATTTAGCATGCCACTACTTACTACACTTGAACCAAATATAATTTCAATTTAATTTAAAAAGTTGAGTAATGGACATAAATAGGATGTATCATAGCTGCCATGGTGGTCATATTGAAAACATATTGAACTTTGTTACTAACATGGGTGGGGTAGTCTAGTGGTTAAAGCGTTGGCTCGTCACGCCGAAGACCCGGGTTCGAATCCCCACATGGGTACAATGAGTGAGCCCATTTCTGGTGTCCCCCCGCCATGATATTGCTGGAATATTGCTAAAAGTGGCGTAAAACCAAACTCAGTCAGTCAGTCAGTACTAACATGGGATGTCATCACTGTTGGGAACAAATACCGTTGTGTGAAGTTTCTGAAGAGAAGATGTTTACAAAATACAACTGATGATTGATGCCAGACAAACAGGTCATAAGTTGGCTAACATGATTTTATGTCATATGAGCTGTCCGAATGAGCATTTTCTCATAGTCTGATATATGGTGCTTGTAATATAAATGGGGTGTGAAATCATTATTTCAGACATATGTATGCTTCATAAATGTCCAATTATCCAACTTTTTATGGTGGTGTGAAATCCATATTACAGATGCATGTATGCTTCATAAGTGTCAAATTATCTTACTTGATATGTAGGTGTAAAATCATTATTATCATTATTATTATGGGATATTTATATAGCACACATATCCACGCAACTAGTACATGCTCAAGGCACCGGTTTTCCCTGAAATCATTGCTACAGACACATGTATGCTTTGTATGTATGTAATTGTTCATCATTTCAACATCATACTGACTGACTGAGTTTGGTTTTACGCCGCTTTTAGCAATATTCCAGCAATATCATGGTGGGGGACACCAGAAATGGGCTTCACTTATTGTACCCATGTGGGGATTCGAACCCGGGTCTTAGGCGTGACGGCCAACGCTTTAACCACTAGACTACCCCACTGCCCAACATCATAAAGACATACATCACTCCTATTGCTTCCACAAATAACAATGCACCAAAATTCAAACAGATCAGGCAGGGGTGGAAATAACTCAAAATTGCTAGTGTACTCCGGTACAGTGGCACATGTAAAATCACTTGCCCTGATAATTTTTCCACTATACCAGCTGTTTTCTTGTTGATTTTTACATAAAGAACATAATTAACATTGGAAAGTCAACTGGACACCGGTACAGTGTGATATACAAATTTGCTTGCCCGACAGAAAAAACACTGGACTCGGGCGTCGGGCAATGGGTTATTTCCACCCCTGTCAGGCATGTTGAGCCTCTAATGTGGACGTCATTATGGCAGCCATTGTAATGTGAAGCAGCCAGTAAATGTCAAGGGCATACACATTAATTAGAATCCATCAACAACAAATCACACATGACAATTACGATATGATTTGTACAGGATTAGAAATGAGCATACTGCGCATGAAACCATTGTAAATGTCAGATCACCATGTGTTAGTTGGTGGAAAGTGGGAATAACAACATTGTTAAATCATTTCAAAATGTGATTGTACAGTAAAGAGTTGTGGGCTATACAGGAATAGTTCCAAAGTAGATAATTACACCATTATTTGGTGGCATTTCAGCTAGTTTCAGTGATTAATCTTGACTGCTATAGATTCAGTAGAAAAAAGGGTAAAATACACTTAACAAATCACCATTATCCATTCAGTTAGAGTTTCTTGTGTAGTAGTACTCATTATAAATATAAACAACCAAGTAGTATTATGAGACTGTGAGTTACAACTCATGGATCAATTACAGTTAATGTTACTAGAGTATGTCTTTAGGGATCTTATTTACTGATCCAATGCAGGAATCATATACATGAACTCTGCTGCAGTGTATAATGTGGATAAGTGCAACATATTGCTTATTGTAAATGAGACCTGTATCACTGTTGTTAGCTTGTAATGAGCACATGAACAAATCCTTAGTCTGACTGAGTTTGGCTTTCGTTTTAGCTATTCCAGCAACATCAATTGGGCTCCACACTTTACCCATGTGGGGATTCAGCACATGAACTTTAAATACCAAATTAGAAGGCACCTGAATAGCATAGAAGTAGAACTGTTTTACATAGCACTGCTCAATAATGTAGATAACCTAACAGACTGGACCCAAGAAGGAAAAAGTACAGTGAGTATCCGAAGAAAATGATCAGGTCCCAGTGTGACTGACAATAAAGTAAATATTTCATGGCTCGCAACATCATCTGTGTCCCGATTTATTATCTGCAGATTTGGGATGCAAGGTTTAATTTTCTGTAAACATAAATCATCAATGTCAGAAGAAAATCTGTGTAAATAATCTGACAAAACAGGCAGCACAGGACATAGCGAAATCGTGAAATTAGTATATGTACTGCTACAAATAAGTAAGGGACCATATGGTTCTTCACCTCAGTAGTATCGTATTCAGCTAACCTCAAGACCCATGGGGTCACAAGACATCCATTAAGTTTTAACACTGTTTAACCTACTTCACAACCATTTTCGTAAATTCACATCATTATATCTGAATATGCCATTCCTGACACTCAGTTTACTGCAACAACTTTATCCACTGAGACATACCACCTCCCAACACCAAAGGTCATATAACAATTTTGCAAATATGACATTTTAAATCATAAATGTTTAAGGCTTATGATAAGACATTTACGTTCAGATAATGTGGAAGGACTGAACTTGAAAGTCTAACGTTGGCCATTAAGTGATAAGACGACAAGAGAAGGAGGATTTTATTTCCGAGAGTTTGGTACAGCTCCTGAATTTGTGAAGAGCATTGCAGTTTACATAGGAAAGTAGTCTATCACTATAAATACTGATAGCTGTTTTGGTTTCACATTTTGAATTATGAATAAGAAATTGTTATAGCCCAACTGATATAGATGTGATGTTATAACCTAGAACATATGAACATAATTCTTCTGTAAGGCCAGATAAATTGTATTTCTTGTTTACGGATTTTTGTCCTCAGTAAACCTAAAGGCAGGAGAGAGAAAAAAAATCATCAGTCAACGTAATATCCCTACTACAAGTATTTTACTTTTGACAATTTATTAAATGCATTATTATTTATTTATTTTTCTTCTTCATATTCTTGAAACAATATGACCGGTGGATCCATAAAACAAGAAATTGTTATGGCCTAATAAAACCTAACAGGTACTAATGAATATTTGATGAGGGTTAATGTTAGAAACAATGTTCATCCCAAAGCTGAAAGAATACAAAAGACAACTGATAACTGACTAAGTAAAGATAAAAAAATATAATCGGACCATTTTAGTACTGCTTCTGGTCTGCCACTTTTCCTTAACTCCAATAATGTACATGGGTTCTAATGCTTCCAGTTCGGTGGAACCCCAACATGCTAGTCTATTCATAACATTACCACATCAGCTGATACAACTTCTGCACTACCACTCTTACATCACACAAGCAGGATCTGACACAAAGCCTCTTAATAATCACCTGCTCATACACTTGTTGATATTGACTTAGACATACATTATATAATCTGTGTTTATCCTGGATTAACACCTGAGATGATTAACTTATCACCTAACAAGACCTGAGAAGCTCCTGCTAAGTAGCAAATACACAAAGAAAGGTAATCTTGATTAACATTGTGTAAGTATAAACATGTGTATGAGATTAATTACACACCACCAGAAACAGGGCTTTGTGTTGCTGCATCCATTACCTAAGTAAATAGTTGATTTACATCCCATGTGTCAATCATTAAGGTAATGTTACATCAGGTCATGCAATGAGCAGGTGCTTGTTTATGTTTCTGTGGACCATGACAAGTATATGAGGCATGCAGGTATGTGTAAATCTATCTACATGAAGAAGTGTTGATGACATGCTGACAGCTAGGTACAATTGTACATTGTAACCATGTGAAAATGATGGGGGTGTTTTCTCATCGATTGTCAGTAACAATGAATGATTCATCTGGGTTTGTTGACATTGAAATATGTACATACAAGTACATGCTTTCTCCTAATAAATAAACTGTACATTAACACTGACTGACTGACTGAGTTTGGTTTTACGCCGCTTTTAGCAATATTCCAGCAACATCACGGCGGGGGACACCCGAAATGGGTACATTAACAAGCGTATGCAATGATTAAAAGCTGTCCATACAAGTAACTGCTATGACAAAAATGTACATGCAAGTATGTACAATGATATAAACTGTGTAAAAGTGTATACACATGTACATGCAATGTTATATTGTTTATACACACCTATACGCTTTGTTAAAGAGTCTATACACATGTACCTGCAATGTCATAAAGTGTATTAATATGTGTATGCAATGTTATAAATTATGTACACAGGTATATGCAATGTTATTAGTGTATACACAGGTATATGCATTGTTATAAAGTGTATACACAATGTTATCAACTGTTCATACATGTATGTGTAAAATAAACTTATTACAGAGTGAAAGCTGTGCTGACTTGTCACTGCATATTTTGACAGCTAAGATCAAGTGGCCCCTAACATAAATATAGCAAATGGGTTGTGATACTTTAAGTAGCTGTATAAATCTCAATTGCCCATTACATTGATCTGCCAATGACAAAAAAACATGAA